TTTATTCTTTGCAGTGCTAGCTTAAGTGAGTCTAGGCTTACAGAATCAAAAGCTTTTTTCATATCTTGTAGCATTATCCAAAGCTCTTTATTTTTTTCTTTTGCTTCTTCTATTATCATATTTAAGATATGTATTGGACTTTCTGTTGAGCTTTCTATTAGTTCTGCAAAATTCGAGCCTTCTAAAATATTGTTTTCTCTTATTATTCTCTCTAGCCTAGTTGTGTAGATTTTTGTTAAGCACTTTCTGAATGTTTCTAAAAGTGCTATTGATCTTATATTACTTAAATTGAATTGCTAGTCTACATCTTTAGATATTGGATAAATCTGTCCTACTTTCCACTTGAGAGGTATTTTGCCTATCTCTAAGCATTTGCTAGCAAAGTTTCTGAAAGCTACTTGTGTTTTCGTACTTGCTTGTTTAATTAGAGTATATCCAATATCTGATATACCTGGTACTGTACCTGTTTTAAGCTTATTGAGCATTGTATCCTACTCTTCTTTTGTTATTCTATTACTCAAACCTTGATAGTAGCTTTCTTTAATTCTTGTTATTAGCTTGTATATTTCTTTCTACTTGTTAGAGATTTCTTCTTGAAGGAAGTTCCTCTTTTTGAACTGCTTTTTGAAATACTTAGCTATTCTTTTGAGTACTTTTTCTGGTTTATTAAAAAGCTCCTTGTTTCCTTCTTCGTTTATAAATAGCCTATCAATTACTACTTTCTTAAAGGGTTTTTCTAGCAGACTATTAATCATTCTTCTCTGATTATCCTTTATCATTTCACATCTGCAGTCTATATATTTTCTTATTTCTGATCTGCTTACTATATTATTTTCTGCTACTAATTTATCCTTTAAAACTAACTACTATCTAGAAAGTTCTTCTTGTAGTTGCTTATTCTACAAATTTCCTGTTATTACTATACTTGTTTCTGTTTTTTGATTTATTCTTGCAACTTCTTGCTCTATTTCTTTTTGCTCTTCTTCCATTCTGCTAGTACCTCTTTCTCTTTTACATCTTTTAACTAGCTTTCTCAAACTATTTATTGCTATTAATAGTTCTGAATAGATTTTCTTTGAAGCTCTGTTGCAACCTGAGTTTAGCACTTTTTTTCACAGAATCTTATCTTCAGCTGCTTGTTTAATACTACTACTTATATTGTTCCATTTTTTATCTAGGTCTATAGTATCTAGAGATCTATCACAGTTCTCTTCTATATACTCTTCTAACTACAGTCTTTTATTTAATTTTTTCTCTAGCAACTGCTATAACTTATTCTTGTAGTCATTCCAATTTTTCTCTATTGCTTTGTCATCAAGAAAAATTGTTCTTTTGACTTCTTTCTTTCTGGTTTGTGCTAAACTATCTTTGAACTCTAGATGTTCTAATAATAATTCAACTACCACTAGCTCATAGTCGCTACCTGTTTCTGTAGTTATTTTCTTGATCAGAGCTTCTTTGAGACCGAAGTTTAGACTTTCTGAGATCCAAATTTGATCTATTCTTGTGCTATCCTTCCTATTACTTCATGAGAAACTTTTCTTGTTAGAATATAATTCTCTGAAAGTATCAACAAAATTTTGCTTTATCATCTAACTATGTAGTGGCAGTTTCTTAAAGTTGTTATTTGTTCCATTGTTTTTATCAATACTTGGTTGTATAACATAATTGAAGTCACCCATCACTATGAAGTGTATGTTTGGTTTTCTTTTAGCGACTTCTCTCATTATTACTCTTTGTACTTCTTTCCTTTTTAGTTGACTATTCAGTGCTATATATACTATAAAAACTACTAGTTCTAATTGCTTAAAGAAAAAGTGTACTTCTAGCAAATATCCACTATGTTTTCTGATTTGTCTGATATATTTAGACCAATTCTTGCTTACTAATATACCTACTTCGGAATCTTTGTTTTTCCCTTTTTTAGAGTTTGTCTAAAAACTATCTACTTTCTCTCTGTAGCTGATTATATATTGTCTCTCTTTCTTAGAAATATTTGTTTCAACTATACCTATTATATCATACCTTTCCTCTTCAAATTTGTCTACTAACATTTCTAATTTATATCTATTTCCTTTTAATCTATTAATATTATATACTGCTATATTAATTCTTTTCCTAACTTCTGTTGCTCTAATATTGCCTTCTATTGCTTCTGTACCTACTCTTTTGTAGTTTCTCTCTTGTAATCCTATATTATATTAAACAAGTTTTCCTTCTTACACAAGATAGATTTCTTTTAGTTCAACTAGCATAAAAGTTAGGAGCGATTTAGAGCTTTTACTCCTAGCTCTCTAAGCTTTTCTTCTAAATCTTGAACTAACTATGCTATATATTCTATTGATTTGTTGCTATCTTGATAATACATCTGCCTATTTGCTCTTAGCTCTCTATTTCTTTTGGCTTCTCTTTAGTTATTATTATTTTCTTTCTTTCTGTACTTTTTTCTATCATCTGCTTTTAAATAGAATCTTTCTTCTACTCCTTTTCTTTCTTGTACAAATTTAGAACATTCACCTTCTTAGTTCTGGTCATCTTCTCTTCTTTTTTCTAAGCTCTTTTCACTTCTTTTTTAGTATATTTTACCTTCTGTATATTCTTTTGTTCTTTGGTTATCTGTTCTTGATTCCACTACTCATTATTCTGTATTTGCCTATCTTAGTTGGTTATTGTAATAATACATCGAGAATTTTGAAGCATTTAACATATCCTCCTGCTTTTCGAAATATAGCATTGCACTTCTTCTGTTATTGTTGTTAGAATTTTTGAAGATATGTAATGCTTTAGCTCCTGTTCTTTTAATCTGTCTCTATAGTAGTACCTCGTTTGTATTTTCTGATAAGTCTACTAGCCTTCTGCTAAACCTGTTTCTTGCATGAAGCAATTCTAAATTATTAGTACCTGTTGTTATTCTTACCAGTATTTAATTCATGAAAGGCAGGCACCAAATCTCATTTTTCTTTTCCTCATCATATGTTCCTCTTTTAAACTCTATTTCTGCTTTGGTCTTATCATGTGTACTTTTGATCATCTCGATATGTTCTACTCTTCCCATAAAATGAACTATTTCAAGACCTGTGATCTTTTTGCCTAATTTGGTAGATCCCAAACTGTTATCTTATTATTGATCTCATCTAGTATCAGGTTCTCTTTCTTTCTTCTTCTTGTAAGAACTTCTTCTAACTCTTTTCTACTTGTTCTTGTCTTCTTTTCCTTTCTCTTGTTTCTTGTATAGTTATTTCTTTGGTTTCTTTTTGGTTATTATTATTTTTAGTAATTATATTCTCTTCTATTCTTTCTTCTAGAATTAGTTTTACTTTTTTGTATTCTTCTTTCTTGCTCTCCAATTTCTTTTTTGAAAAAAAAAAAAATTAGAAAATTAAAAAATTAAAAATCAACAAACATTTTTATGTACGTCAATAGGTACCTATTATTTTCTGTCTTTTTATGCAAACGGTTCCATATGTTGAAGATAGTAGTGCTTTGATTAGAAAGAATGACAACACACAGGAGAATAGTCATTTAAAATATGGTTCGCTTTTTTACGGCATCTTACTGGATATTTATTACTTTCACTAATCGCTGTCAAGGAATGTTTATCATTATCTTGATTTTGCGTAAAGCTTTTTTTTTTTCCTGGCTGGTGGGCAAGTAATTGGGAGGCAAGAGAATAGCCACTAAAGGTTCGTTGTCGTCTGAAGCTCTAATAGACTGTTCATAATAGTCATTTTGTTGGTTGTTATGATTAGTAATTTTGGAAATATTGTCAATCCAAATTTCTTCACTACATTTTCAGTTGTCAAGAATTTGAAAAATCCATCATAACTCCAATTATTTACATTAAATTCTTTAAAATAATCGTCGACTTCTGGCATTCTAAAAATAAAGTAAATATAATTAGATAATATAAACTATTATTTCGATTAATTTATTAACATAATTTTTCTCAGCAACTAAATTAATAAACTACTGCACAACGTTCTTTGAGCTCAACTAAAACTGCTGCGCAGTGTTCTTTGAATTTAGATGAATTGAACGATAGACCACTAACTGTTATGCAGCGTTATTAAACTGCTGCATAACGTTCTTCGGTCTAACGGACGAAGCATCAAACATCATTGAATAATCGTATAACGCAGTTTCCTTTATAAGTTCTTACCTGGCGAACGTTTTCAATATGTCTGCATGTTTTTTTTTTTCGATATCTGTGCGAAAGATATAGATTAAGGATCGATAATCATTTAGTTTTTAATTTTTGCAAAATTAGAGTCTAATTTGGGCAGAAATCAAATATAGATTTGGGCAAAATTAGAGTATAAATTTAGGCAGAATTAGATTAGGATTGAGATAACTTACCGGTCAAATGAAATGTCGATTGATCTGCATCATAGTGTATAATATTACTATAAATTTGAACTATTTATAACTCAAAATTGAAAAATTTAGGTTCCTACTTTATTTTAGATTGCAAATTATATTTATATTAATTTAATATATTAATAAAAATCTACCGTTTTACAACTAAATGTTTCTTTATAAAAAGTTGTTTTATGGCTCACGATCACAAGATAAATAATATACGGAAAAAATTTTGTACTACAAAAGATCCTAAATTAAATGCGGTTCTGAATTTCTGGTCATTTACCCGATACAAATAATTTATTTATCTAATAAGAGTTATGATTAATATATAAACCTCCTTTCAAAGTGGAGAGGGTAATGTAAAACACAAAATCAATTTGGCTCGCCTAAGCGAACCATCCCCGACAGTGTAACTTAGGAAAAAGTTCACTTATTCTTGAAAATATACTCACATACTGTAATTAAATAGAGCATTGATTAATTTAATTTATTAAATGAAAGTTATTATAATATTTGAAATTTATACTCACGAACTGAAAATTCATATAATTAAAGTATTAATTATAACGATACTCTGATTTAGTGGAGGCATATTTGCTCATATTGTTGAAAATTATTCTTACTCTCTAGCAAATTATGAACGTAGCTGATTAGTGTATTCTATTTATTACGAAATCCCGACTTAATAAAAATAAATATCAAAATTTGTATAATAATTCATGCAATTAATAAATGAATGTTATATAATAATAAAAATGCAAATAAAATTTTACATCTGAATACTTGGTACGTACTAGTGATAAAAATGATTTTATTCCTTCACTTGCTAATCCTTCTATTTGTTTTTCGTCTATCATAAATACTTTCTTCAGGATCTCAAATGAATATAACCGTGTTGCGTATTCCATCATAGACTTAAATTGGTTACATATATATCATAGATTAATATATATGTATTGATAATTCTAATAAAGGAATTGACACTTTATTTTAAATTACCTCAAAAATCCGAGAACCTAAATATGCATTCTAAAATTGATAAATATTAAAATTTGATTCACTATTCTTGAATTAATTATATAAAATACCTTCTAAGATTTTATTGAGCTTGTCACTAGTCTTCTCGTTACATCAAATAAAAATTCCTCTCATAAATATTAATTCGTGCAGAGATAATTAAAATTCTACTCGATATCAAATTATTTACATTATATTTACTAACAGAATTTTTGACTTCATTTAAAAGGTCTTCTCTATTTTTATTCTCGCCTCTGCTCAATTTGTTTGCAATAATCATAATAGGAATTTTATAAGTCTATTCGCGTGATAGTTTGTTTATTTCATTTAATCCGTCAGTGTCAGAAATATTGTAAACAAGTATAGCACCGTCGATATAACTATAATAACTATAATATTTATACTGTAAAAAACTTCTATCTTTTAAAAAAAGTATAATGCATTATAAACTCACTTTTCATCTGGCCTGAGATTCCATCCGACGAAATTACAAGAAAAAATAATTAAATGTGATTGTCTAAAGCAGTGTTTATTTTTTCACGTCAAATCAAATCTACTTCTGGCATTCTAAAAATAAAGTAAATATAATTAGATAATATAAACTATTATTTCGATTAATTTATAAACCTAATTTTTCTCAGCAACTAAATTAATAAACTACTGTACAACGTTCTTTGAGCTCAACTAAAACTGCTGCACAGTGTTTTTTGAATTTAGACGAATTGAACGATAGACCACTAACTGTTATGCAGCGTTATTAAACTGCTGCATAACGTTCCTCGGTCTTACGAACAAAGCATCAAACATCATTGAATAACCATATAACCGCTATTTCCTTCATAAGTTCTTACCTAGCGAACGTTTTCAATATGTCGATATAGAAATATAATAAAAAACAAGAATTATGCATGTGTTTTTTCAATATCTGTGATATCTGTGCGAAAGAGATAGATTAAGGATCGATAATCAATTACAGTAATTCAAAAGTTTATCACTACCGAATCACAAACTTATCGAACCGGCATTATTTGTTCGGACCATTTTTTGCCAGATGTCCCAGAATTTATGAAAACAGCTGTAAGATCCGGATTTGACTAAGAAAGATTCGGATCGATCCGGATCCGTCTAAATCAATAAATATATATACATATAAATTAAGCATCTGAAAGTCTATATATCAGGGATGGTAAATAACCTAGTTATTTAAATATTAAGTTATTTGGGTTATTTGTATACAAAGTAATTTTATTGGTTAAATAGTTAATATAAAAAGTTATTAAATACTATGATTTCACTAATCGATAATCATAGTTATATTAAAGTCAAATATTTACTATATCAATTAATATCAGATATTTATATTTTAAATAAAGTTTTTTAGGATAGTAAATAGTATATATTCTAAAATTTTTATACAAATTAAATAACTTTTTATTTTTTTTTTTATTTTTATTTTTTTTTAAGCAAAGCTAAGATAAGGCCATGTTTCTATTTTTATTAATAATTTAATTAAAAATTTACAGTTGAAATTTTTGAATACTATGTATTACAAGGTATAATCTTAAACTATAT